TAGCGACGTTGCTTTTTGATTCTTCGATGTCGGCTCTTCCTATCATTGCGAAGTAGGAGTCCGTTCGCTCAACGGTTCGGAGATATGATTGACCTGTCGGCCGGCTCAAATCGGAGATACTGTAGGCTCACACTTACTGTAAAAGAACATCCCTACTAAGCTTGCCGCATCCACAGCTTTCATCCCTCAGAGTCATAGCTACGCCATCTCACTGATAGTTTTACCGCAAATGCAAGTCTACAATTGGCTAATATTGAATGTACGATTTTATCACAACAGTCATGGAAAACGGACTATAATGACCATGTAAATTGACTTGTGCAATCAGGCGTTAGCTTTGGGTACCTGAACTATCGTTGCATCTTGAGGGGTATAAGGCCTAAGGAGCTCAGATTTGTATTATAGAGTATTTGCTCACTTTACGCACTATTTGAAGTATTGACAAACTCCTGAGATCATAGAATTATATCGTTTGGATAAGCGAATTTTCTTGGCTGATTATTAGCAAGTAGTTCGGGAGAGAGAGGATATTAATGGGAATTAATTGGCAGACCTTGCGCGCTCAGTGTGCTCTGCATTCAAATCTGTGATTAAGGTAGATTTTAGAGCTCATTTTTATCAAATGTTGCTATCTTCCAAACTTAACTAGTTTGCATTACTGAGTCAAATCACTCCGACAGCTTCAATACTACTCTGTCCCAGTCTTCGATGAAATTACCTAGTGTTACAAGAGCAAGAACATCATTAGATTAGGTAAATAACGCTGATCTTTCATCTCAAGCTTCTTATTCTAGTTACCTTCTTCTCCATGGATATTTTTCAAATCGAATTTCATGTTATTTTGGAGCCTGAGGAGTTCCAAATAATAATTTATCATCGCGTCAAATTTGCCAATGTCGTTCGAATCTCTGAACAGATCATTTAGCAAATTCTGTCGTCGACGAGCGTAATGCAGCTGAACCTGTGTGAGATCCATGTCTGACTGAAGTCTTTTCATGCGAGCGTCAATAAAGCCTGAGTAACATAACGTTGTAGATCAGGTTGCCGATCATGCTCGTAAAGTTGTATCTGCTGACCTTTATCTAGCTCCGGAACCCTTTTTGCTTTAACATCTTTAACAACCGACTTCAAAGTTATTAGATTCATTAGCGTCAACTGTTTTTTAATCTCAAAAACCTTCAACAGTTCCTGAATCGTATCTTTTTCGCTGTTGAAGAATTTCTCTTGACCCCTGAATGCACTGAATTTCTGAATGCCTTTGAGCCACTCATGGATGCCGCTATCGTTAGCCCTTTCTTCCATTGTAGGAGATTGAACTCGTACATTACGTGCCGTGTGGGGGTCACGAACCGTCTTTTCCTGCTCATTGTCAATCGTGTACGAAGCTTCAATCTTCGACAACAATAAGGCAGCAGCCAAAAGACTTTAATACAGCTTCATTTTCTTGGTTTGTTGGTAAAAGAACAAATGACCGATTCTCGCCCTCCATAATCAGCTAGTGCAACACGTTCATTAACATTACTAGGTATACGATGCTTTTATGCATAGACATATCTGGATATGTTATAGGTCATTTCTGATAATTGTGTCTGGCATTTTGAGATACAATCCAGGATAATATCAAATTTGACTTCTTTTCCTGAACTTTATACCTTTTGATGCTTTGCATGAATAAATTTACAGAAATATAATTAGTTGGTGTTTTCTTAAAGATTCTAGCGGTAACTATCATGATATATATTAGACTTGTTACTATATAGAGCAGTTTTTAAAATATGGAAATGAAATTCATCGATAAATTATTGATTGCCCATATTTCGTTTTGACTTGTTTTTAACCTCTCAAAATCACAAATAAAATATAATTGCCGCATCTTTCCTCAGGATCAGTATAAACCTTTACCATCCTCCTTCGGAATCAGCTGCAGTCGTGGTATGGGGGATATTTATCCGAATATATATAGCTGTGCCATTGTGGGCTTTTACACAAGAAAAAGATAAATATTATTTGAAATTGTATGAATATGATTAATAACATATTTATGGTTAAAAATTCGAACAATGTTAATGGCGGAACTAGGTTACCGTCAGGTAGTGCCATCGTAATTCCTTCCCTCTACAGTTATGATCTATGTAACTCGTCGTCTCAGGGTATCACCAATGACTTGGTGTCATAATGTTCCATATGCAACACCTTCCTCAGCAGTTATTGTAACAAGGTACGTGATGTACTATCGTACAGTACACGATATGTGCGTACACAATTTTACGAACATAATTGACACTTCTTGATAACCATGCCACCAGACATCACATTGACACCACTTCCATGAACTTATCTCGCCAAATAGATGGATACGATCATAAACATTAAGATC